GGGGGGTGGTGGAAGGGGATACTTAACTGCTGCCGATATAAAACGACTGTTGTATTGCCTCCCTTCCTAAAACTTTAATCTTTCGTCGCTATCAACAACTCGCGCAGAACCTGGTCTTGCTCCAAAGGTCTGAGCAATCCGTACACTTAACATGCATTGGCTTTAGGTCTGGTGGGGACGTGTGGTGTTTCACGCCCCCATCAATACCACTGGTCATTTCGGAGGATGGCTTACGAGCGTATCCGTCAGGGCAAACCTGGGCTGAGAGGGATGCATCATTCGGGAATCGAACTCGGGTCGGGGGCTCTCGTGGCCTAGAGGCTAAGGTATTGGTCTCTCATTCAAAGGTCCCTTGTTCGAATCCGGGTAGCGACCGAAAAAATTTGTGTTCTCTAAAATTGTCTCCTTTACCCTCCTTTCCTGCTCTCCAGCAAGGTTCTGTCGTCTGCTTTCGTCTCCTCTTTGTGCCCCCACCCCCTCACCTCCTTTGCCCCCTCCTCTTGGCCCCTGACTCTTTCTGCAGCCTTTCTACTGCTACTCCTTGTCTCTTTCTTACTGCTGTCTTTCAGCCACACCCCTGATCTTCTGGTAGGAAAAATCTACACCAAGCCTTCTCGGACAAGGGCGAAAAATCTCGGAGGGCCCGTGTGCAAGTTGCGCACGTCAAAGATCCCTTGGTAATCTAAAATCGATAAGTATAGGCTCCGGCCGCCACCAGGACAAAATTCAAAATTTCCTACCAACTGAAAATATTAGGTGTGTCCTGTGCACTCTTTTGACCGTATGCAGTTGCGAGCGCCGTAAAACACTTACCAAAAAAAAAAAGGAACTCGAATTTCTAGCGTGTGACAATGAAGTGACTAACCACCACTCCACAGACTATCACCGTGAGCATGCGATAGCTTCCATGGGGAAACGAGAAGACGAGTAACAAAGTAAAGAAGAAAAGGGGTTGGGATGATTAGATAAAGTGATAAAATGGCTAAGCCCTGTTGAGGAGATGCTGGTACTAGTGTATGACATATGAGAAGACGTGTTGGGTGTTTCCAGCGCCAGATGAAGAAAGCGAGTAGTGAGCCTATGATGTAAACAGACTGATGACAAAAGGAGATCCTACGGCATCTTTGTTCCCTCTTTGACCCACGTTGAATTTTTTAAAATTAAAAAGTATTAATTCATTCTATTTTTTTAATTCAATGTCTTGGGT